GGGGGGAGGGGGGGAAAGGGGGGTGTGCATATTTATACAAGTAATGCACGCCCAATCTTTTTTAAATCCAATAACAGCCTTGAGGAAGTTATTGACATGAAATCCTTCAAGAGAGTCTTCGAGAACCCCTTTAAGCACCCATGCTGAGTGGCTTGTTCAACTTAGAGTGGAGGAGAGTACATGTACATATATATGAACTGTTTGAGCAAATCACCAAGGCAGATTTCTGTCCACAACTGTCAACATATCAATAACAACATTGGTTGATTCCGGGATTGGGTAACTTGAGAAGCAGTATCCATCTCAAAAAATAAATAATTTTTTTATATTGAGTATAGTAATACTATGAGAAAAAAGAAGAAAAAAACCTCATGAAACTCTTTATGATACTTCTTTTACTTTATGATACTTCTTCTATCCGCAGCACAATCTACAAGGCTATAGAGCCACACAAATTGATGAAGGACAAACTGAAAGCAGATGGTGTGGTGGATGAGATGCACAGTGTGCAACACATCTCTGATGACAATAACAAGAACACAACAGCTGTAATTAAAGTACTAAATACAATTTTTTTTAAAAAAAAAAGAAAATAACAACAAAATTAATAAGAAGGCTGCCGTGGAAACCCTCTTACTAGATGTTGTTATCTCAGCAAGCTCAAACGCTTCGCAGGATAATTGCTCTGATTGCTGTTTTAACACTGATTTGAAGATTAGTCACTTTTTAAAGAAGCTAATCTCAAATAAGTAATCAACTAACTCAAAATAGTCATATCATATGATGTGCAATTTAATATGTTAGCAACACGGGAATGATTTGCTCTATACCTTAGGTATGGGTGAGGATACCAAACCAACTCCATCTATTCAGCATCTCTGTATCACCTTAGGACCTAGGAAAATCAATGTTCTTGTGATGGTATCAATTTTTATTTTCATATTCCCATTTCTTAGATATGAAGTATCACCTCAAAGTCAACTCATTTTTTTTTTTTTTTGAACACAAGAAGGATTTGCTATTTACTTGATTTCAACAAGAAATAAAGTGATCATTTTCAATAAGATACATTTATATTAAATATTGATTTTTTTAATATAAAAATTATATATTTATATTCTTCTTTTCTTTAGCTACAACCTAAGGTAGTTCACAAATATCAAATATGTATGATGATTGTGTAATTGAAAGTCAAAGTTGAACAATTTGAAGAATCTATGAAAATCTCAACAATCTCCACAGAAGGATGAACCGTTTCTTCCCAGACCCTCTGGCGAGGATTGCTCTGAGCACATGACTTGTAACTAAAGTAGTTTAGTGTCATGCTGCTGCAACCGGAGCCAATAGAGGGTCTAAGCTCGCTGAGATAAAGATGTTGGAGGTATCTTAATAACAACCAATCAAGATTTCAAACCTTCTTACAATAGGGGTTATCACGTGTGGTAGAGTGGCTAGTGTTCAACAACACTATACCTTCCACCTCTATCAAATTAAGTATTTGTGTTAATATTCAAGACATTCTATCATTCCGACAACATATCACAAATGTGTATTCAAATTATATTTAAATGATTCTAGAGATACATCGACATTCGAGCCATATTTGCGGTGTTTTGCTACTAATTTTCAACAATGGGGGGCTGTCCACAACAATATTTTAATACATAGTGCATCTTCCAGTCGCTATCCTGTCTGCGATTAAACAGCGGGTACAGCCTGAGGCTCTACATTTTAGATGTCCAGAACAGGGAATATCAGCACAGGGTGTACGTCGCTGTATTGATGAATGATGTTTTATTGGAGAAAATGTTCTTTGACTCTTCTGTAAAAGCGGGAGAGGATAAAGATCTGTAGATGGATGCCAAATTACCTTCTCTTCAACCTGAAAGCTATCAATATTATTCCATATATTTAATAAATAATTGTTAATGTCTTCTGAATAGAAGCCAGCAACAGTTCTCAAATGAGAACTATTTAATCTTCTATAATCAAGAACATTGCCAGTTTCATCAAATGACCGCAATATACCATCATCAGCTAGATGCAAAATCCCATTGGTATCGGTTTCTACACTGTAAAGCATGTCATATACTTCTTTTTTAATAAGATTGTTTGACTCTGCCACAATGATTAGAATATAAATTGCTAGTATATTTGAAGCAAGTGCATGAAATTATGAAGAATGAATTGATAAGAGGTAAAATGTATATTTGAATGCCAATATGAAAAGGAAAAAATGAAAGAAAAGAAATGCTCATACCTGATGATATAGCAGTGCTGCTGGTTGCTGAAATCAAGTATATGACAATCTTAAGCAGATTTAAAATAGTTGAAAGAACTGAATTCATGATAAATGAAAAATAGATGTATTTACACCACTTTTTCTTACAAAATGCACACAGTGATTTATCTATTTAACATAGGGTAGTAAGATTTAACCGCATGTTTAAAGATCTCGCTTGGTATAAATTTGGCCTACGGGGTCAGGATCTCGGGATAATGATACGTAGTAACCGCTTTAACAGGATGACGAGCGAGACCCACTACTGACACGGACTTTGCAGCGAATGGGGCCTTGCTGCTGATTTAGAAGAGAATTCCTTGAAACTAGAGTGCTCAGCGAGACCATGAATTACATATTTGCTCTGATTTGATTCGATCCCAGTCCATTCATTTCTTGACATAAACATGAAATGAATCATGATTATAAAAATTATGTAAAAGAACTAGATTTTCTGAGAACATGAGTGTAAAAATGACTAAAAATTGTCACTGGATATTATAGTCGATAAGCGAGCGAGACATATATCTAGACACTCTGCGCCACAACCGAAATTTGTATATGATGCTAGCACCACATACAAACTTTGGTGTGGCAGCAACAAAGTGTCTCGCTTGTCTAAATATATGTTAGGCCACTGGGGCAAAAGAGCTCTATGCTGGTAGTAGAGGGGACGAACCAATCCAGCACCCCCTAACGTATATGATATGACTCGATCATCGGCTACAGCGGACTAAGAAATACCTGAGGATACTGGACCAACAGTCTCATAAGCAGACGCGTGGTGATTTT